CAATGCACAAAATTCGTGCAAGAGTAGGCCTTCCTTCCCCCGGCTGCCAGCACCGGCTTCCCTCCGGCACCTGGGACTGGGGCTTTTCTCCAGCCGCTGGCAGGCACCTGGGACCCAGGCTTCCCTCGCAGGCCCTCCTTTGTCTGGAAGGTAGTCCAGTCTAATTAGCATATTACGCTTTTATTATTATAGATTACAATATTCCCTATGCTGTGCTTTACTACCAATTGTACATCTTAATTCCTTCACATTTTTTTACCCATCCTCCAACCACCCCCTCCCATTTGACAACCATCAACTTGTTCTCTGTATCTATGAGTTTGTTTCTGTCTTGTTTGTTTATTTATTTATTTATTTTTCGATTTCACATATAAATGAAGTCATATGGTATTTGTCTTTCTCTGTCTGATTTATTTCACCTAGCATAATACTCTCTAGGTACATCCATGTTGTCACAAATGGTAAGATTTCATTCTTTTTTATGGCTGAGTAATATGCCATTGTATATATGTACCACCTCTTCTTTATCCAAACATATATTGATGGACACTTAGTAAGTTACTTCCAAATCTTGGCTATTGTAAATAATGCTTCAGTGAACAGGGGTGTGTATATCTTTTTGAATTTGCGTTTGGATGAATACCCAGAAGTGGGATCACTGGGTCATATGGTAGTTCTATTTTTAATTTTGGGAGGAACATCCATCTGTTTTCCATAGTGGCTGCAGTAATTAGCAATTCCACCAACAGTGCACAAGGGTTTTCTTTCCTCAGATTTATTCTTAAAGTCACATGTGCATGTTAATTATATTTCAATAGTTTCTTTTAAACATTTTTTTTACCTTCAAGGATTTTTTTCTTTCTCTTTGAAAAACTGAGAAAAAAAATCAAATTAACAATTTTTGAAGAAGATGAGAAAATATATGAAATACATATTGGTCTCAAATTCTTTATAAACACAATTCTAAAGTTTTTCCTATTTCCTCATATATTCAGTTATCACCAACTTTCTACAGATGAAGGGCCATGATTATTATTAAAAAAATATTTTTATTGATTTCAGAGAGAAAGGGAGAGTGAGAGAAAGAGAGATAGAAACATCAATGATGAGAGAGAATTATTGATTGGGTGCCTCCTGTACAGACTCCATGTGCCCTAACCAGGAATTGATCCGTGACCTCTTGCCTGGTTCATAGGTGACACTCAATTACTGAGTCACACTGGGTGGGTGAAAAACCATTATTGCTTTTATCTGAAGTCTTCAGTATTTAGGAATACTAAATATATGATATCAAACACCACTCCTAAAAACTATAAACCACCTGTGCCTTCCTAAATTAGATTGACAATTTGATTTTTGTTGCAAGTGGTCAAATAAATTCCTCATTCACATCAGACAATTTTAGACCAAGAAATAAGACCAAAAGAGTTTTCTTTATTCTGTGTGACATCAGATAGGTTCTCACAAATGCAAAAGGACAAGGGTTATTGAAGTTTCCTCATGTTATTTCTGTATATATTTATGTTTTCTTAGGTGCTGCATTTTTTTTAAAGCATGAATTCCCTCTCATCTTGTCCTTCTGGTTGAAAGTATGGACTTCGTCCAGCCTATAGGACAGCAGTTCTCAACCTGTGGGTCGCAGCAAACGACCCTTTCACAGGGGTCGCCTAAGACCATCCTGCATATCAGATATTTACATTATGATTCATAACAGTAGCAACATTGCAGTGATGAAGTAGCAACGAAAATAATTTTATGATTGGGTCACAACACGAGGAACTGTATTTAAAGGGCCAGAAGGTTGAGAACCACTGCTATAGGAGTTCAGATCCTCGTTTGCTGTGGGGTGTCAGCAAGACACTTAAGCTTTCTGTTAGCACATCTGTAAAATGGGAGTATTAATAGTAGTACCTCATTGATTTTTGGGAGATTAAATGAGTTAGTACCTGTGAAGCACTTACAAGTTCATTTGTATGCACTAACCACATAAGTGTATACTATTTTACTTACTACAATAATGTAGCAGTGCTAAATACTTATAAATTTTGTAAAGCTTTTGTTGTAATTACAAACTTTTACAAGTAGAACAGAGGAAGCGGTGTGGACATTCCAGCTTTATCTAGGTCACAGTTCAAAGTGAAGATATTGATACGCATTGTCTTGGCACAAGGACTTTCACTGAAGCTCAATTAATGAGTCAAAGGAAGTTATTTTTGAAAAATTTTTCATTTCTTTTTCTAAAGTATGTTTGCTTAATAAAGACATATTACTTTAAAATGTATGATGACAACAGAAGTTTATTTGTGATGTAACATAAAACATACCAATGGAAATGAGATATATACCGTTTAGATTATCACCCACCTATCCTTATTATAGCCAGTATATAATGGAAACCAATTTTTCAAATGAGCTTAGGCCTTATTATTCTAGTGTATAATATACTTATTAGATTTTTTGTTTTATTTTGCATATAGATTATAATTCTCTCTGTTTTACAGAATAAAATTAGTCATAAGTTATCTAGAATCAGGTAGAAGATACAACTTATCTTTAATTCTGTCTTTTATCTAGGAGGAAATGTGGTGGGAATATTGTGTTTAGCTTGTGAATTATTCTTTCTTTTTTTCTTTTGAGTTTTCAAATCTGTTTTTATTTTACAAATGAAGAGTCACATTCTGCTTAAAAATTCAAGAGGTGTTTTTCCAAGATACAAACAAGAGGAAGTAAAGAGACACAATGAAGGAAGATCACCAGGAGGTTCAGAGATCACTTACAATTTCTTCTTAAAACACTATTTAAAATTATGGGTAACATTCATGTCCTTCCATACAAACAGGCGAGAATAATGGATGGTGCAAAACTCAGACACTTTCCAGACTGTTTTCTCAGAGTTTCTATTGTGCCCTTCCCTTCCACATTCTTTATGTATTAAGTGCTCCATGTGAATTATTCTGAATTGAGCAACCCTAGACTGATTCTCAACAAACCTGAAATAGGCGTAAATAATATAGATTACGTTCTGAAATCAGCAATCTAGTCAGAGAACATTTAAGTGTTTGGTATATAAATTGTGTGAAGGGTTCTGACTCTACCTAAAAAAGAACCATGAATATAAATTGTTATTTATGGGTGAAGATGTCTGACAATAGATGTTTCAGTCCTTTATCTAATAGAAAGGAAGCACTCATGTTAGCTTCAGTGGCTGCGCCGATTGACAGGAGCATAGCGGATATCACTGGACGCTAAGCCATCATAAAAATTTGATTTAGGAGGGCATAAGAGACTATATGTTCTTTGGCAATACATACTTAATTCTTATAATAGAAGTCTGGGCATTTTTTCCCAGATAATAAATTTAATCTCTCCCAGACATCATTCACTCATTCAACAGAAGTATATTGATCTCTTACTGTGAAACAGGCAGTGTTCCAGGTGCTTGAGTTACAAAACAGAATCAAAACTCTCTAGGCCAGTGGTTCTCAACCTTGGCTGCACATTAGAATCACCTGGGAATCTTTTCAAAATCCTGATTTCTGGGCCTCATCCTCCGGAAATTCTGTTTCTTTGTTATGGGGTGAGGCCACAACATTAGTAACAAAGAAACAGAATTTCCAGAGGATGAGGCCCAGAAATCAGGATTTTAAAAAGATTCCCAGGTGATTCTAATGTGCAGCCAAGGTTGAGGACCACTGCTCTAGGCATTCATAGCTTAGGTGGGAGATATAAAGACGGGTAAAAAACAGTACAATATGGTAAGCACTGTGTAAAGTTTTGTGAAAGCCAGAGGATAGAGTGACTAACTGTATATTAAGAAATTAAATATGACATTAAAAAAAAGAAAGAAAAAAATCAAGTAAATACAATAATAGAACTTTTTGAAGAAAGAATATAAACAATTCATGTCCCTCCTTCCATTTTCATGTTTATTAAAGTTATATATGGCCCAGCTGGTGTGGCTCAGTGGTTGAGCATTGACCTGTGAACCAGGAGGTTGTGGTTCCATTTCCAGTTAGGGCACATACCCAGGTTGTGGGCTTGACCTCCAGTGGGGGCCTGCAGGAGGCAGCCAATCAATAATTCTCTCTTATCATTGATATTTCTATCTCTCTCTTTCCCTTCCTCTTTGAAATCAATAAAAATGTATTTTAAAAATTAAAGTTATATTTGCTTATAGTTTAAAGAGTCAAATTTCCTCACTCTACCACCATTCCCACTCCCCCCTACCCAAGGCAACCCATTCTCAATTTCTTTAGCTGTATTTCTTTGTTTTAACTCAATATCTCTAAAAATTATACCTACATTACTATTATTGACTTTTCACATTGAATTAATGAGGCTTTAACATGTTTTCCTCCCTCTTCCTTGAATGCACATGCACACTTTCAATTATCCTAATCCTCCTAATAAAATAATATTGTAATTTTAATATGATCAATATGTAGTATTTACATTATTATGATTATGTAAAGCTATTCACAGTTGAGCCATATAGTATTATTATATTATTATTTTTCCTTGCCCATGTTATATTTTGGTTTCCATGGAGTTAAAAATTACCTTTTATCCAGTTACTTAGTATCCTATGTATATATTAGAAAGTTAATCTCAATTATTCCCCAAACATTCCAACATAAGAGTTATTTTATTAACTTATTTTTCTTGAAAAATATTTTTTGGGCCTTTTGTCCTGAAAATACCTGACTACTTTTCTTTTAGTATTCAGCTATTGTTCTGAGATTCCACTTTATCAATTTCTGAGGGATTCTCTTTAATCTCCCCATGTTAGATCTCCTGGTACTTGGATCTTTGGCTTTTCTTTGTATTAGTTTCCTATTTTGGAGAACCGTATTCTTCATTAGTTTTCTGAGAAAGGGTTTAGGAGTGGTATCTGAAATATCTCTCTCTTTTTACTTGATTGAAAGTTTTGACTCAGTATAGAATTATGTGCTAAGTATTTTCCCACAGGATTTTGAAAACTTTTCTCTGTTGTCTTCCAGTTTCCAGCTTCCAGTGTTGACATTAAGAAGTCTGAGTTCATTCTGATTCCTCATTCATTGTATGGGTTAGTGTTCTAAGATTTTATGATGGCAAACCTTGATGTGGATTAATTGTAATCTTTTCAGTTTGGCACTGAATGTACGCTTGTGTTCTGGAAACTTGTGACCTTCAATTCTGGGAAATTAATGTATTTGAAGATTTTCTCCCGTTTATTTTTTTCTCTCATATTTGTCTGAAACTCCTATTATTCATATGTTGGATCTCCTAGACTGGTCTTTTGTTTTCTTTTCTTGTTTAATCTCTTATTTTGGATGTTTATTCCTTTTCTTCTTCTTTTTTTGGTCTTTTTTTTCACTTATTTCTGGGAAGTCTGTGTTGTATACTGCATTGGTTCTTGTTTTTTTTTGTTTTTGTTTTTTTTTTGTGGGGGGGCAGTCAAAAGTTAGTGCACGTGTTAAAATCCGATACCTCTCCCCAAAGGGCTCATCCACTTTTTAAAGAAAAGTTTATAAAAATAAAGAAGCTGTTCTCCCTTAAACAATCAGGCAAAAATTTGATTGGTTAATCAAGAAAGCCAGCTGAAATAGGAAATCATAAAAAAGAGTACTCCCTTTACACATATTATTTTAAATTAAGTCATATAATTTGCATTTATTAGTCAATATATTGATTTTGAACAATGCCTCTTTTGACCATGTATCCATTGATTTGAATCCCATATTGTCTTTTCTTTGTATAAACTGTTATCGTAGTGCATCATATAAGAATAAGATTTTTGTAATTTTTTGTAACGAAAAATCATAAAGACCATTGTAAGACAATCTGAAAGAATAAGCCTTAATTAATTGTCTTAATTTTTTATGATTGTATCATCTAAACTGAATTTAACAGCAATTATTAGACATGTATGGCGATGGAGTCTATAGCGCAGGGGGTGGGCCTGTTCCCTCCTCTGCGTGCGCGCTGGAGCAGGGGCCGAGCCCAGGCGACAGCAGTCCTCCCCAGCCCAAGGACTCTGCAGCTACAGCTGTGCCCACGCTGGCGCCGGGAAGAAACAGCATTCAGGTGGCCGGTGGCCAATGCCAGGGGCAGGGGCAGCCCCCTGCCGGCTCCCATCGGCTCTCCATCAGCCCAGCGCACAGCTCCACTGGCTCCAGTCCTCACACTTTGCGGAGAGCTGTTAAGAAACCTGCTCCAGCACCCCCGAAAGCAGGAAACCCACCTCCTGGCCAGCCCGGGGGCCAGAGCGCCCCAGGGACAGCGCAGCAGGCACCCAGCTTGTCACCGAAGCCAGCCACGGGAAGTCCGTCTCCTCCTGGCCCGCGCAGGCCCAGCTCCCGGGCAGCCGTGCGCCACCTCACAGCGGTGTGGGCCCCGGAGAGCCTCAGGCAGCCTGGCTCCTAGGCAGGCACCCAGCCACCCTCCACCGCAGCCCCCACGCCGGCGCCGCAGCCACAGGCCAGGCCGGGGGAGCAGGGACTGGAGCAGCCCCCACACACCCCACCCCCGCGCCCTCCGGGGGCCCACCCAGCGGCGGATGGCAGCCTCTCCAGCGCAGTGCCTACTGCCTCCCAAATAGTGACGGCCGCCCATGCGAGGGTGTCAGATCCTCTTCGCAGCGTCTTTCCTGACCTGCGCTCAGGCTCAGACAGCAAAGGCGCGCGGGGCCGCCTCTGGTTGGACATGGACCATGATACAGAAAGCACCGCCCTGGGAAGAAAGCCCCGCCGCGGCCCTTCCTCCCGGAGAGGGAGCAGGGCAGGCGGGCGGATCTCTGCAGACCCAGCAGGGAGCAGCTTTCCAGGCAGAGAGCGAGCCTGGCCCCGCAGGACGTTGCCTGTGCGCCAGCAGCAGTGCTGCCACGGAAGCTGAACGACCCGTGTCTCGAGGAACTTGGCTTTCTTTACGTGGGAAAGACATCACGCCACACACACCAAGCAGGCCTAGAGGAGGCAGTGCGGCCCTGGCGGCCACTCGGGGTGAATCAGAAGCAGCGCGTGACTAGTCCCTTTAATAACACGTTCACTGTGCAACTGGCTTCCTCCCGGCTCCTTGGACCGTCATTCTTGCTGCAGAGTCGTTGGCATGAAGTGCAGTCTGTCTCAACCCTCATACCATGAGCGCCGATGGTGGCTGCTGGGTCCACCACCTCCGCCAACTGGATGTCCTGTGCCTTGCTGGATTGCCAGGATGTAGAAAGAAATGTACTGTTCTTTAAAAACTATGTAATTGCTACTTGATAAGCACCGACATTATTCTAGTTTCATGTTTAATTTGAATTAAATATATTCTATGGTTTATATGAAATTAAGAAAAAAAAAAGGGCCACTGGTGAGCATGACCCACTCCAGGGACAGTGCCAGTCTATAGTACAGACTGAATCCCTCATGAATGGGATTAGGATCCTTATAAAAGAGACTTCAGAAAGCTTCCTCACCTTTTGCCCACAGAGTACACAGTGAGACACTGAATCTGCTGGCACCTTCATCATGGACTTCCTCACTTCCAGAGCTGTGAGAAATATATTTCTGTTGTTTATAAGATACCCAGTCTACAGGTTTTTTTTTTGTTATAGTAGCTCAAACTAAGACATGCATCATTTTTAAATCTTTTTAAACATCGAGCTTAGTTTTAAAGAATATTCAATATATTTTTTACGGAGGAGAAACCAAGATGGTGGCATAGCTAAAACCGGAAATTGCTGCCTCACACAACCACTTCAAAAATACAACTAAAAGACAAAACGGACATCATCCAGAACCACAGGAAGGCTGGCCGAGTGGAAATTCTACAATTAGAAGGAAAGAGAAAAGCACACTGAGACTCAGAGGAGGTGCGGAAGTAAAGTGCAGAGGTACGGAGGCGCACGCAGAAAGGGCTGGCAGCTGAGGACGCGGTTGTCTTTTTCAATCAGGAGGGAGTCTCAAGCTCCCAACTGCTCTGAACTCCAGTTCCGGGTGAGTCTCTGGGGACCCAGACTCATACAGGAGAAACTGGACTGTCTGGCAGCAGGCAGAACTAGAGGGCGGCTTTCTCTCAGAGGTACTTGCAGCGATTACCAGGACACTGAGAAGCTGGGCCTCTTAGGGTAGGACTGAGGGGCAGCCTAGCTGCTTACTCCACCCTGTTGATCCCCTGAGACCCCGCCCCCACCCAAGCTGTGCACAGAGGCTTTTGCATATGAAAGGCCTAGACCTTTGCAATCTGAAAATTACCTAACAAACTGCAGCTGGGTCAGAGAAACCCAGAACTTCCAAAAGAAGGCCCAAAGCCCCACAGCAGCTTGCATTGCTTCACAGCTGGGCACCTGCTGGGTAGCCTCAGGCAGAAGCTAAATTAGCACCTCCTTAGAGATCCAAGAGCCAGTGTACCCAGTGGTCAGAGTTGGACCATCCAGATTACAACTCCTCAGATCCATAAGGGACACCCTCAGGGGGCAGACTCAGTGAGCACGAAAGCCCCACTGAAGCAAGTTTTGCCCCAGAAGGGTGTCTCCAGCACAGAAGTTCTCCCACTGCAGACACAGCTGATTCTCACAGCCAATTGGCCTGGAGGTCAATTCCTCCCAGTGATACCTACAACAATCAAGGCTTAACCACAACAAGACTGTGCACAAAGCCCACAAGGGGGTGCACCAAGAGTGTCTACCTCAGGTAATTGGGGAGCCTGAGCCACTGGGCCCTATAGGACACCTAGCACAGAAAACCACTCTATCAACACAGGGAAGCATAAAAAATGCAGAGACAAAGAAACAGGTCACAAATGACATAAATGGAGGAAAGCAAACTACTGGATATAGAGTTCAAAACCACACTTTTAAGGTTTTTCAAGAATTCTCTAGAAACCACTGATAAATTTAGTGAGACCCTCAAGAAATCTAGTGAGACCCTCAAGGTTATGAAAAAGGACCAACTAGAAATTAAGCATACACTGACTGAAATAAAGAATATTATACAGAGTTCCAACAGCAGACTAGAAGATTGCAAGAATCAAGTCAAAGATTTGAAATACGAAGAAGCAAAAAACACCCAACCAAAAAAACAAAAAGAAAAAAGAATCCAAAAATATGAAGATAGTGTAAGGAGCCTCTGGGACAACTTCAAGCATACCAACATCCAAATTATGGGGGTGCCAGAAGAAGAGCGAGAGCAAGATATTGAAAACCTATTTGAAGAAATAATGACAGGAAACTTCCCCTACCTGGTGAAAGAAATAGACTTACAAGTCCAGGAAGCGCAGAGAACCCCAAACAAAAGGAATCCTAAGAGGACCACACCAACACACATCATAATTAAAATGCCAAGAGCAAAAGACAAAGAGAGAATCTTAAAAGCAGCAAGAGAAAGAAACTCAGTTACCTACAAGGGAGTACCCATACGACTGTCAGCTGATTTCTCAACAGAAACTTTGTAGGCCAGAAGGGAGTGGCAAGAAATATTCAAAGTGATGAATACCAAGAACCTACAACCAAGATTACTTTACCCAGCAAAGCTATCATTCAGAATTGAAGGTCAGATAAAGAGCTTCACAGATAAGAAAAAGCTAAAGGAGTTCATCACCACCAAACCAGTATTATATGAAATGCTGAAAGGTATCTTTTAAGAAGAGGAAGAAGAAGAAAAAGGTAAAGATACAAATTATGAACAACAAATGCACATCTATCAACAAGTGAATCTAAAAATCAAGTGAATAAATAATCTGATGAACAGAATAAACTGGTGAATATAATAGAACCAGGGGCATAGAAAGGGAGTGGACTGACTATTCTCAGAGGGGAAAGGAGTGTGGGGGGGTGCGGGAAGAGACTGGACAAAAATCATACATCTATGGATGAGGACAGTTGGGGGGAGGGTAAGGGCAGAGGGTGGGGTGGAAACTGGATGGAGGGGAGCTATGGGGGGGAGGGGGGAAGAGGAACAACTGTAATAATCTGAACAACAAAGATTTAATTTAAAAAAAAGAAAAAAAATATTTTTTACATTAGTTTACATAATATTTAATTAAACTTTTATTTGCAATAACCAGTGTGACTAGAATAAGCAATTGTGAAATAAGTACAACTGA